GAAAGAAGAGAAAAGAAGGAGAGCAGCTCCTTTCATCCCTGCTGAGTTGTGGCCTTTTAGGATAATCCAGCTCAAACCTTTTCTTTAAAAGCTTGGAATAGGAGATACAATTCTGGAGTCAAAAGGCAGACGCCACCAATACCACTGCCCGGGTTGCTGAGCCAATGACAACCACTATTAATAGCAATTGTGTGTGCCGTGTAGGAGACAAGTCTTTACGAATTTGCATTCTCATTCCCTTCCTACTTTCAAACTCATTGGTACTGACACCGCCCCCCCCCCCACACACACACACCTTGTAGTTATGCTTCACTCTGTTTCGGGGATTTCTAACAAGGTAATGGCTATTTAGGTTATCCAGATTACTGACAAGGTAATGGCTGTTAACCGCAGGCTGTAACCAACAGAACCATAAGTAAACGAACACCCTAATCAGATCTCTCAAGTGTTTCCCAGAAAAGTGAATAATAAACCACGTTCCAGTATTTTCCCCCCTTCAAATTCATTAGGAAGATTGGAAGACTTTATCATCTTTTTATTATCAACTTGAAACCTTGGTCACTATGAAACTTTACAGCTGGAAAGTTCAGATGTCATCTGCTCAGTGTGATGAGCAGGGGTTAGGGTAAAAGAGCCTAAATGGTGATAAGGTTTCCACATTTCACTTGAATTATAAAATATTTATTCTAAATACACTGTGAAAATTTAAGTGTTTATATGGAAATCCCTAGAGCAAGTATTTGGACACTTTCTGTAAGCAAAGTTTGCTGGTAAATGAATTTAGGCTGGGCGGTAACTAAATTTGCATTTCAGTACCATTCCAACAGGGTACAGAATTGGAGGAGGAGGAAAATAGAAGAATGAAAAGAGAGGAAACAAACAGAAAACAAATTATAAAATGGTAGACCTCTATTCAAAAATCGCAATAATTACCTTAAAGGTAAATGGCCTAAATACATCAATTAAAAATCACAAATTGTCAGAATGGATTAAATATAAACAGTGGCCATAAGAAACTCACTTCAAATGTAATGATAGAGGTAGGTTTAAAATGAGAGAATAGGAAAAGATACAACATGAAATCACTAATCAAAAGAAAGCTTAAGTGAATGTATTGGTATCAGCCAAAGTAGACTTCAAAGCAAAGAAATTTACCAGCAGTAATGAAGAATGTTACACAATTATAAAGGGTCAATTGACCAAGAAGACACAACAATCCTAAAAGTGTAGTCCCTGGCCACAGAGCTTCAAAACCATTCTCTTTCAATAATTAATAGATCTAGTAGACAAAAAAAATCATCGAAGAGATTGAAGAACTGAACAATGCCATCAACAAATGGATCTAATTGATCAAGATCACAATGCAAGTAGAAACAAGGATCAGTGATTGAGAGAGAGACAAGATCATATTAGAATTAAGGAATCAAGAATGGTTAGAGAATAAAAGAATGGTATCATGAAACTCATATTTTAGAAAGAGTTTCTTAGCTGTAAATACCTGGAGATTCAATTGGAGAATCTGGAAGTTGAGCATCCCACATCCACGTTTTTTTTTCTGCTATCTCTTGAGGTCAGGGTAGTATGATCCCTTCAGAACCCCAGAATCTACTGCAGTGTCTGACAAAGCGCAGCTCCCCAGTGAATTATGTACCAAATGAATGGAAAGGAAGTGCCAGGTTCAAAAGAGCTGCACAAGAATAACATTCAATAGTTGGCAAGTCATTGGATATGGGGTTTGAAGGAGGAGAATGAGTCAAAGTTGACTTGGAAGCCTAAGCCCAAAAGGCCAGTACAGAGGATATTGGGAATTGGATAGCTGGTGTGTGAATGAATGGACTACTGTGGGGAAGAACCGACAGTGATATCGTGAGCTGGAGTAGAGAAAGAGCTCATGTTTTGCAATCTAAAATCTGGTTCTCAATTCAGGCTTTGCCATTTAGCAGCTCTAGAACCTTAAGAACATAACTTCTCTGAGCTTCCATTATATCTGGAAATTGCAAATTATTGAAACCGAGCAGGACCCTGCAGGGCCTTCCCGGGGACAGATTTCCCCCCACCCCCATCCCCCGTATCCCCTGCCTGCCTCTTGTTTGTAGAAAAGCTTTATCATCCTAGGCCTTCCCCCAGTTCAAAGAGCAAATTTAATCAGAGAAGTGAGAAAATGAAAACACAAAGGAAAGCAGTCAAACAAGACAAATAATAATATTGGTAGTTTAGCCATAAAACAAACTCAAGAGCATTTAGTTCCTCCTTAAGGGCTATGGATAATATTCTGAGCCATATCTTTCAGTTATTTTGCAGATACTAAAACTTCCACCAGATGGAAAAAGTTGACTGCATGCTGACCAGTAGTGTGTAGATCCCAGACTTGTTGGAGCCAGAAAATTGATAATTGAGTTTCCTGAAATACCACCCTGTTACCTCACCATCAGTTAATCAGGGAATTTCTCATTGGCTGATTATATACCCTGTGAATGTCTCCCTCAGACTGTGTTTTAAAACCCTTCTCTGAAAGCTTTTGGGGCGTTTGGGTCTTTTGAGCCAGTTCTCCTTGCTTGGCACCCTGCAATAAATGCTGTACTTTCCTTCACCACAACCTGATGTCAGCAGACTGGCTGTGCTGCACTGGGGCCATTGGCCCCAAGTTTGGTTTGGTAACATTATGATAAATAGTTTTGTTTCCAAAATTCAATTAGACTACATGAAATAATCTCCATAAATCTCTTAGCGTGATGAATGGCACATATGGCTGAAAAAATAAAAAAGCAGGGAGACTTTTCATTAAGTTCAGTTTAAGTTTTTGTAGGGAAGAATGTCTCCAGTCATGTAGATGCAAGTGGAGATGTAGACTAAGACAGAGAAGTATGGACTGTAGACAAATTTGAGGGCTATTGATTCATTCAGTCAGTGAACTAATGTTAACTGGGCACCTCCTACTTTTCTTTCAACAAAGGAGATCATGAAAGGTGTAAGATCCACTGAGATCTCTGAGGGCAGGAAATACGACGTCATTCCAACACAAGACCAGCAAAAGACAGACACAATGAAGTGTCCCTAGTGCTGAGGTCCAGACGGTCCTATCTTAGGGTGAATATGGGAAAGACATGGACTCCACCTTTCATAGGTGTGGAATCTTACCCGGGTAACATTGGTTTAAACGGAGTGATTTTCAAGTAACATTGAGTACATACACTCTTTAAAAGCTGGAAACAGATAAAGCAGATGTTCTTGGAAAATACTATTTCATATTTTACTTTCAAAACGAAAAGCTTGGGGTACCTGCCCTCTTAGCGCAGTGGGCAGCGCGTCAGTCTCATAATCTGAAGGTCCTGAGTTCAAGCCTCAGAGAGGGCAGCGTTAAGTGTTTTCACAGTCCGCCTGGCAAAGCATGTGTCATCTGTGCTTAAAGAAATCAACACAAAGGAAAATTAGCAAATGCTGCCAGGTAAGCATTTGATAAATGTCTCAATATTCTATATTTGCTCAAGAGGATGAAATCAGCTTTCTGGTTTGTTGCACCTCTCAGTGGTTTGAGTGAAATAGACAAGAAATTTAGATTACACCAGAAGACAAAATCTATACCATATTTTTGGTCTTCCTCTCCACCCGATGGAAGAAGCAGGGGAATCTTCTTTCCTAAATTCGTGCTCTAAATGTCATCCAACCACAAATCATTTATTCTTTTAATTATGTAACAAATATTTCTTGTTAATGCACTGTTCTGGGTGCAGTTAGAAATTTGGAGCTCTTCCACACATCGTGTATTTCTCTATAAAAACAGCTGTGGTTGTTACAAGATTTTGGAAATATGGCACAGGAGGAGGAAGTGGGGTAACTTCTGTAGACCTCACATCTGCAACACATTCTAGAAATTGTACTAAAAGTTTATTAATTTTATGCAAATCATTTGATTTAGCCTTGCAGCTAACCCAAATATCATTATTTCTATTTGAAAGATGAAATTGAATTTCAGAGGAGTTGAATCATTTTTCTCAGGTCTAATAGCCCCAAGGAGCAAAACCAGACATGAAAAGTTGTTTTTTTCTGTATGAAAAGATGTGAGGTTCTCTTTTAATTTAAGGTATAGTCTCATAAGCAGTTTTTCTCCATACCACTTCCTTTCTTCCTTCATACATTCATAGAACAAATACTTTTAAATGAGTGGATTCATTTTTCCATTCATCAGACATTAATTCAAAATCACTTCTGTGTCTGACACCCAGGTTCAAGACTTCTAATTGTCCTTGACTCCTTCTTCTCCTTCAAATCTCTACATCCAGTGTCTTGAGACATTGTCAAATACTGTAGATCTTTCCTGCACAACCTCTCCAGAGTCTTTCTCTTTCTTCTCATTCATCTATGCCTTCATCCATTCTATAATGTTTATGGAGAATGTATTCTGTGCCAGACAGTGTACTGGGCTGGAGATGCAGAAAGACTCATGCTATTGCTAATCTCAGGAGCTAAAAAAATAAACCTCACTCAATCCCTTAATATCTTATAACTTCTTTTTCATTCTCTTCAATTCTGGTTTCCCTATTTCCTACCTATTTGGCATTCAAAATTAAAAACCTTTCATAAAATGTTACCTTGATCATGTAAGCCATCTGCGTGGAATTTTTTCAAGGGTTCTTAAGCCTCCACAATGTTTTCTCCAATGTATCTTCATGTGTCCAGGCTTTTCAATCACTGTTTCCCTCCATGTCTATTTTACACACACGCACACGCACGTACACCCCCTCCAACTGAACCAGTATATTTCTGAACACAGGATCTCTACCTCCATGCCTGTTCCTTCCATCCTGTGTTCACTCTTCATCTGTACACTTCAATGTCCATATATTTTTCCTTCGCTCTGATACGTCTCGCCTCTAAATTCCTATGGCTCTTGTATGTAACAGTATGTATTTTTGTTCTTGCATATAGTGTAAATATGTAACTTCTCAAGACCCAACTCAGCAAGAATCCAATAACTATCTCAGAAAAAATGCTAGGCGGAGGTTTCCGTGGTGTAGTGGTTATCACGCTCGCCTGACACGCGAGAGGTCCTTGGCTCGAAAGCGAGCGGAAGCAAGTGCTGCCTTTTGCTTTCCACCATCGGGAAAATTCAGCCCATCGCCTCCCCTAAAAGGAACCAGTGATCCTCCCACTTATGTTCCTTTGCTGCTTTAGTTTCGTGCTTAAGAGACAGGTAATCACAGGGCGCGAGAGAGTCATGGACATATACACACTAACAAACGTAAGGTAGATAGCTAGTGGGAAGCAGCCGCATGGCACAGGGATATCGGCTCGGTGCTTTGTGACCGCCTAGAGGGGTGGGATAGGGAGGGTGGGAGGAAGGGAGACGCAAGAGGGAAGAGATATGGGAACACATATGGGAAACTAACACACCATTGTAAAGCAATTATACCCCAATAAAGATGTTAAAAAAAAAAAAAAAAGAGAGAGAGACAGGTAATCAACCTGAGATAGTCCTCCTGCATTAGCCTGGTGTTCTGCGTGAGTCCTCTCAACTGGGACGTGATCTCTTCCATCCCGGAAAATCTGAAACCTGTACTTTTGCGGCCAGACTTTTCCCAAGGCGACTTTCTCCCTTCCTTACCAGAGGAATAGGTGCCAACCGCGCGCTTGCCTCAGAGTATCTTTGAGAGGATGTGCCCTTACTCCAGCCTAATGGCCTTGACTTTTCCTGACCTTCTGGCCGGCCCCAAAAGAAGGAATGACGTGGATGGAGATGGTCCCCTGAAAAACGGGAGGTGGGGAGTTAGCTCAAGTGGTAGAGCGCTCGCTTAGCATGTGAGAGGTAGTGGAATCGATGCCCACATTCTCCAGCCTTTTATCGGTTCAACTGAGGAGCTCTTGTTGATAACCGCAAATCTTCCAAAGTACAGAAGGAATTGAAAAAACGATACACTTTGGACCCTTCTCTGGGTAAGGACAAAATGGGGTAATGCTGGCTCTACTGGCCTTTGGTATGTACATGTCTCATTAATGATAAATCAAGTAGATTAAAAAAATCAAAAAACACATTGAAAATGTAACACCATGCACCAATGGGTGGAATTGACCTTATAAAGCAAAATCACAATGAGGTTCTACCGAAGAGTTGAAAGAAAAGCAAGATCATATCAAATCTTAAGAAATCAAAAATGGTCAGAGTGAAGCAGAGGGACATTATGAAAACAAATATTTTCAAAAGCATTATTTAGCTGCAAAAGCCAGCGAGACTGAAAGTAGTGAAACTGGAAGAGGATCATTCCTTGTCCATATTTATCCTTCTGGCTCCAGAGATCTGTGTGGTCAGATTCGTTCTGAATCACCTGAGCCTACTGCCCAGCACAGAGCAGCTCCCCAATGAATATGTACTGACTGAATGGAAAGGAAGGGACAGATTCAAGAGGGCATCACAAGAATAATGTTTAGTATTTGGCAGGGCAGTGGATGTGGACTTTGAAGGAGGAGGATGAGCCAAAATTGACTTGCAAGTCTAAGCCCAAAAGGCCAGCACAGAGGAGGTTGGGAATTAGATAGAGTGTGGATGAATGAGCTATTGTGGAGAAGAACAGTGAGATCACGAGCTACAGCAGGAAAAAAGATCCCAATTTGGAATCTAAAAGTCTGTTTCTCAATTCATACTTTGCTGCTTAGCAGCTCTGGGACCTTTGAAACATTACTTAACTTTTCTGAGCCTCCATTATATCTGAAAAATGCAAATCATGATACATACTTTTGTTACCAAAGTTCAATTTGAATATATGAAATCATCTCCATAAATTTCTTAGTATAATTGTAAGGCTGAAACAAACGAGGAGATTTTTTTGTGGCATGTGGGATCCTCCCAGACCGGGGCACGATTCCGTGTCCCCTGCATTGGCAGGCGGACTCTCAACCACTGCGCCATCAGGGAAGCCCAACAAGGAGGTTTTTTATTAAGTTCAGTTTGTGTTTTTTGTAAGGATAATGTCTCCAGTCATGTATATCCAAGTGGAGATTTAGAGTGAGACAGAGAAATATGGACTGTAGACAAATGTGAGGAGTATTCATTCACTCAGTCAGTGAACTAATATTAACTGGGCACTGTTCAAAAGTTTCTTTTGAACATAAGGTACCAAGGAAAGTATAAGAGTGACTGAGACCTCTGAAGGTGGGAAGGGGCAGATCACTGGAACACAAGAGGGAAAAAGAGCTGCAAAAGACCTGTACAATTCTTGGGTACTGCAAGCCAGAGTGTCCAATTGCTGGGTGTATACTGGAAAGGTGTGGACTCCACAATTCCTGGATGTGGAACACTTCAGGTGCAGCTTTGGTTTAAATGGAATGATTTACAAGTAACGTTGATTACATTCTTCAAAAGCTGGAAACTGATGGACATACCTGGAAAATAAAATTTTATATTTTATTTTCAAAGCAAAAAACAAGGGACATCTGCCCTCTTAGCGCAGTAGGCAGCGCGTCAGTCTCATAATCTGAAGGTCCTGAGTTCGAGCCTCAGAGAGGGCAAGTGTTTTCATCTTTTACCAAGCAGCAACAACAACAAATATCTCCTGTTAGTCCCTTCCTCGTGGAGCTACACCCCAGTCGGGAGGAGTGGGAAAAACTGAACAAGAAGCAAGTAAGAAAAAATGCATCACAAGCACACGAGGAAATGTGTGCTGGGGTGTAATCATTACGCAGTAAAGGGGCTCGGGATTGTGGAGGTGGCACGTTCAGCTTTCAGCGGAAGAGTCAGGAAAGATACTGTGTTGGAGATGCCTTTTAGTCTCTCCTTTCACACTTGCTGAAATCCTTGTGCCCGAAGTTTTTCTAATTCAGCTCAGTTTCAGTCTTCAGGGAATGAATCCTCCGTGTCATTGGTCTATAGACAAGGAAGGAAAACCTGAAAAAAGCTGTGAGGGAGTGAACATGGTCTGTACTGGACAGTGCTGGCCTTTCCATCTCAACATTCATGGTTTTTGGCTAGCGGGAGGGTGGACCTCTCACCTCTGTTTCCGAACAGAGAGATCCTGGTGAAAACAAGGCCTTTCCACTATTTTGTACTTGAATTTTATGGGGCAGTTGGCCTGAGGAAAGAAGGAAGGCTGTTGAGGGGCACCTAAAGAGACAAGGCATATGACAGAATTTGTCCTTCTGAAGTCTGAGTAGCCTGAGTCTGCGAGAGAATCAGAAAGACCCAGACGGTCAAACAACAAAAACAGCAACAACAAGAAAAAAAAAATTGTGAAACCAGAGGAATTCTTGGGAAAACTCATGAAAGAAGAATAGGAGTAGGATCTTTGGGTAGCTCTTCCTTAAGAAGGTTTCTTACCCATCTGTCCAACCCAACCATCCCAGTCCAAATCAACACCTTCAGAAATATCTCCAAAAAAAATGAAACAATCAGGTGGTATTTAATTTCCACAAAAACAACCCCAGATAGAATTTTTCCTCTTTGCACAGGCAGCTTAAATATGGCTTAAAATGTGTGTGTGGGGGGGGGCGGGTCCCAGGAAGTAATGCAGGAAATATATTAATCAGCATTAGTGATCAGATCCTGATGAGGTCCAAAAAAACTGAGAAAAGAGAGCATCATGATTCTGCCATGCTGAGCTGTGAAGAGCCCTTGCACTTTGCTTCTCACTGAGAGACTTCCCTTTCCCTCAACTTGAGCTTAAGCTTCTTCAGACACAAAGAATCCTTTGGGTGAAGTTCTTCGAGAGCTTCTGTGAATACGTGGGCCTTCAGCAAACCCAACATTTGCTTAAGTCAGTGGCACACAGTCTTGCAATAAGATAGAAAATGTCTTACATTTTGACTCTGTTGTAGGTATTTGGTAACCAGGCTCTGTCTGGGCTAGTTTCCCAGTTGCCCACAGAGGACCTTTCTTCACCTCTCAGCTCCTGACTAATACATCTTCTCATTTTGAATCAGACTTAGTAATAAGGTACCTACTTCTAGGTACTCAGTCCCTGAATCACATGTCACTTTACTACTGACAGCACCCCCCATAGCTAATGACTCTTATTGTGATTTCAATCTATTACCTCAACTTATGCCACCTTCCTCACAAAGTGTCTTATGAAGTTTTTCTTTTTAAATTTCTTGTCTCTCCTCTAGAATATAAGGATCTTTAGGCTCAAATCACTGTGTCCTCAGTGCCTGGAGTTAAGGCATAAATATGGCATCTGTCTTGAAATGGAAGTAATAGGTAAATGGAGTTAATAGGCAGATCAAATACAAGTTAATAATTTAATAAATCATTTTATTAACTTCCAAAATGTTAATCCCCGCATCTTTCAATTCATTTTGCTCTTTCTTTATGACTTATTTGATGTTTTGAATTTTATTGATGAATGGCAGTTTATTTATAATGCATAATTTTAATTTTTCCCAGACAGAATTTTCTACCTTCTAATTAGTGAATAACAAATAAAGGTGTAAGGGACCACAGATGTTTAAGACTCCTGTTATAAAACAGTCACAACTGATAACAGCTTGAAGTTGGGTGAAAACTAGAACCGAATTTAAAGCCTATTTTCTTTTGCATGTATTTCCTCCAAACATTTTCTTCTGCACAGGTTCTTAATTTCCACTTTCTTTCTCTCTTCAACAGTGAAGCCCAAAAATGTTCCCTTGTCTCTTCTTCTAGGTGTCAGGATGAAGAGAGCTTGAGGATTTGGAGGCCTGTGAGAATTCTTATACAGGTAGACCACAAATCTTTGACATTGCACAGCTTAGAGGCTGCAGGGAAGAAGAGGAGACGGTAGTCATGTTCGGAATGATGACAATGTAGACAGTGTAGCAGACTTTTCAGGGTAATCAAGTGTCTTGAAAACAGTTTATTTTTTTGTGGGACCAATGACAAAATGGTGACATATATGATTATAGTTTGTAGGATCCCAACTATTTCTCCGTGATTTTCTCTTAGGGAGTGGGAACTCGGGATACAGGTGAAGAAAGATTAAAAAGGAATGAAATAAATCCTCTTTCAGAACCATGTGCTAGAAATTGTACTAAAATTTTATTAATTTATGCAACTTGTTTGATTTAGCATTGCAGCTAACCCATGCATCTATGCCTTTATCCATTCTATGTTT